CATTTCGTCCGGTCTTAAGGAGAATCGGATCGGGTGTAATAGAACGATCGTATCTCGAGAGATCGTTTCTCGAGCAGGAGTGAGGTTATTGACGGCGCAATTCGAGGTACGCTTCGATCTCTTTCCGTGCGGGTGATGGAGCTGATGGAGAGGCAGGACTAACTGGGCGATCGACGGCGATTCCGAGTATCCATTCGAATATTTGGTAAAACAAATCATTAACTGGAGGCTGAGAGAAAACAAGACACATATTCAAGGTTCGCTTGGTGTGTTCAAGTCTCCTTGATGATGTTCGACACCCATCTCTCTCGACGAACCGCGACGCTTACGAAAGCATCAAGTGCTTCACGCACACTTCATCTACCCTACTTCGACTGAATTCCATCCTCAAAATGTCAGACTGGATCGTGCAGAACTTTGTCTTTCCTGGCGGCTGTCAAATTGTCTACTATGACCCTGTCACTGGACAGGCCTTGGTAAGTGATCAGATACATGATTCCCCTCCGTCACTGTCTGGTTGCAAAAGCCAAGCCGTATACTGCTTACCTTATACTAAACAAAATCAATATTCTAGCCTCCTCAAATTTATCAGCCTCCCCAGGTTTACCAGCAACCCGCTGCCTCTGAACAACTCGGCATGCCTCGTCTCGACTACTATGGTCCTGCCGTCGGCATCCAGGAACCCGAACCGGCCTTCCTTCTTGTCAACAAGTTTGAGCAGCCCGTTCTCCCAGCTCCTGGTTTTGTAGAGGAATTGGACTCCGCCAACGAAGAGCTGGACTTCGAAGAGGGCTTCGATTCCGTTGACGAGGATATGGACTCTGACGAGGACGAGGGGTTGGGTCCCGCTGAGAACATGGTAAGTAGTGCTTATCCATCGATCGTCCCATCCATGTCCATCCTTGAAGCAAACTAGAGCCAAGAACTAACAGAGGTAACGCTAGTTCCACTATGAAGTCTTCCAGCATGAGGTTTACCAGCAGCCAGTCATGCCTGTCGCGCCCGTCGCGCCCGTCGTGCCCGTCGAGCCCATCATACCCGTGGTGCCCATGATGCCTATCGAGTATATCGAGCCCGTCATGCCCAACATCCCTGCCATGCCCATCGAGTACATCATGCCAGCCATTCACGCCGCTACCGCTATCCAAATCCATCACTATGTCCTGGAGCATAACATCCAAGAACAACCCGTCGCTCGTCGCCCCCAACAACCGCAACCCAAGAATAACTTCCCCTGGGCCTCCAAAGCCGCCAAATCCCAAGCCTAGAAAACACTGCTTAGGAAGTGGGAGATTTAGCACATGCAGCGTCGCGCGGCTGCTCGTCGCGCTACTGGTTGTGGCTTGCGGTTGCAGCATAAGGACAAGAAGCAGGGCAAAAAGATGGACAAGAAGCAGGATAAGAAGCCCCGTCCTCGGTCAATCTGATCTGATGGTGGTGGAGAATTTGAGAATTGGGAGGAGACGGAGTGTTTGGGGTTAACAAGGCGATTTGGGGCAAGAGTGAAGACATTTCAGATAAGAGTGGGAGATGGAATGTTGGAGGAGACCAGACAAGATTGGGTTAATTTGCTGGTGTACCCAACAAAGGACTGGACTGGACAGGACGAGTAGTTCACGATGCTTCATACATACGTATGCCTGGTCAGATGGGCAGATGCTCTGGTCAGTCAGTCAGTCAGTCAGTCAGTTGTAGCCAGCATTGCTTCGTCTCCAATGCTCCATGTCCCCTCCACATAATAGCTGTCTTCCTTGCTACCAGTACAAACTCCGCTGTTGTCTCGTGACTTTCTTTGGTGTGATTTTCACCTCTAAGGCCACTCGCTCTTGCGCTGTTTAAACTGATTCTCGAATAACCAGGCGACAGTGTCATCGGGGGTGTTCGCCGCCACCGCCACCAGTCTGCACCAGATGTTGGCTTCGCACGATGGAAGAACCGAGAATTTCCCTCGAATTTGTGGCACCTGCGCTTCTCGAATGATACTGGTGAATGACAAAGCCAGAGAACCTGAAGGAGGTGGCGCTGAGACTGCATTGGTGAAGTTGGCAGGGGAAAACGCGGCCACGAGATGATGCCGTGTGGAAGTAGCACTCTCTGGTGCCCAGGCCAAGAAGCGAAGTTGCAGTTGTCGGCGGCTGCTTCAGCGGCGGATTCACGGAATAGTTACCGAAGTACCTCGGGTTGAGCCCGGAGTCGACGGGCAGAAGCCAGGGGCCGCAAGATTGCGTGGCTGGTCACCAAGCTGGAGGAAAGGAGCGGGTTAGGGTGCAAGAGGCAGAACTAGCATCAAGTAGAAATGGAAGGCAGGAACATACAGTAGAGGTACCTTCCTTCGTTTTTGGTGTCATGGCGACGGGACTGATTGCGTTCTTTTCTGCTCTCGCGAAACCCAATAGGACTGAAGTGTCCATTTTCTTGTATTTTCTTCCCGGGAATGTTGTTCAGTCATCTCTCCGCCTGGTTCATCAAACACTCTGTCTCTGGGTGGAGCATCACCGACACTCGAGATTTGCCTCAGTATTCATCATCTTCTCATCCTTTCACGGTTCGTTCCCGCTGCTCCTTTTCCTATGCAGCCACCACGCCAACACACACACACACTGACGACTTTGCAGGATACGGCAACCATCACCACAGCCAACATCACCTTCGTCAACGCCGATCTGCGGGCACTGGCCAGTCGCCAAATCTCTGAATCATCCCGTCTAGTGTTAAACCTCCCATGTCAAGTACTTATTCGATCGCATGTCGGGTTCTGCCATCCATCTATCCCACTTCGGTTAAGCAATGCCCGGGAGACACTGGAGCGAAGCCATCCCCCAACTTGTACACATTGTCAGCAGCTGTCAACACTGCCACCATTCAGGTCTAAAGCACCCAAAAAGCACTCAACACCATGTGCAGTATACCTTAGGTACAGATGGGACCAGAACCTCGGTTCTCTAGGTTAATGTGTTTAAACAAACAGATGCAGGTCTGGCGTGCGGTAGCCGTAAAGGGGGAATTGTGGTGGCTGTGCTGTTGGCGAGCATATATGTTGCAGACAGTGTGCTTATAAAGGCCCGCCTCTCCCCCTCGTTTCCCGTCTTTTCTTTTTTCACTTCTTTTCAACCTCGTCTACCCACCTTCGTTACCGTGCACTCAGTAAACTTCGACACCTCTCCCACTAGCGTACCATCATGCTTCTCTTCAACATCTTTCTCGGAGGCGTTTTGGCCATGCTGCAGGTAAATGAATTGTGCACTAATATATTTTCTATCCTTTTGTACCCACAGATCGTTTCTGCCAGCGCGCTTCCAGGAACATCACTTGCGGCGGCACTGGCTGGGAGAAATGCCACAGCGTCCTCTCAGGCCGAGCGTCGGTCGACTTCCATTGTGGATGTTGCCACGGTGGATTGCGAACTACAAACGGGTCTCGGAGACACCAGCCATCACTTTGCCCAAGTGAAGTACATCAGCGAAGGCATTCAATATCTCAAAGAACCGGCGCATTCTGGCCATCCGAAGCTCGGTCCTGCTCTGAACGGGAATGTTCCCTGTGACCGCGTCAGCTGCTCGTGGGATTCGGCTATTTTCTGGTGCAATGAGGTAATGTTCCATGTTCCATGTTCATATCCATTGTCTATTGACATTTATCTGTGTCTACCTACGTAATCCACTCCCGTCCGTACATGGACTGACCTTCCCTCCCTTCCTCTCTCCCTCTCAACAGGACCCCGAGAACTCAAAGGAGCTGCCCGGGTACGACACCATTGCCGAGGCCACTCACAAAATCATGAAGGAGTGCGAGATTTACAACGAACTTGGGTCTTACATTCTGGGAAATGTCCATCTGAAGGACCAGTGGAGTGTCGTGGTTAAGTACGATAAGTGTTAATTACCTGTACCTTACAGTAGTGTAGGTAGGTAGCTAAGACTGCATGGACGGCAGGGAGCGTTTATTGTACTTTCCACTTTCTAGACGAGACAAACTGGACAGACTGGACCCTGAGAGCACAGCACAAAAGAGAGGAAGAAAGAAAGAAAGGGAGGGGAAATGGTGGCCATCCAGTCAAGTGTCATGTAGGTATCGTATGGACTGTGGACTGTGCAGTGGGCCATGGGCCATGGGCCATGGGTCATGGGCCATGGGAGGAGTTGAGCATCCATCACATGGGGCTGGTGGGCGAGATGGACATACGTCGAGAGGGTAGGATTGTAATGCAGTCAAACATGAAATGGCAGAGGCATGCGAGTATCCCATAATAAAAGTCTTTACACGTAGTACCTAGTGCTGTACGCAACTCGTGATGCTTGGCATGGTTTTGAGGGCATTAGGGCATCGGTTTTCTGTTGGCATAGCCACAATAAATCTGTCGGGTTTATTCTACCACGGACTTCCGGGGCGTTAGGTTTCAGGGTTGTGACTTCGTAGGCTGGCCGAATCTAGCCAAATCTGAATGTACACTGCAAGAATATGTGCTTTTCATGCCCGAGAAAAAATAATTGGGGGAGACAGCCAGCGAACTTGAACCCGGCGCAGTGTAAAGTCGATTCTTCTGGTGCCCTATGTGTCTTTTCCCCTATGTGTCTTTTCCCACTTTTAAAGATAGCAAGCTGGAGGGTGGAGACATTTAGAATCACCGTCTTGCATTCGTAGAAAATTGGTGGGCATGAATTTTGCAGTAGGTATGCATTTAAATTTGGCCAGATCAGTCACAACCCCGAAACCCAACGCCCCGGATTTCTGCGGTACTTGGTTCTGGACAGGTAGACTGGATAATAATATTCGAGCTGACTAGGTAGCTACCGACCGGTAGTATAAAGCAGCCCGTGTCCCCCCCTCTCTTATTCAATCAGTTCTCTCTTGCCATCTTCCTCATCCTCTTTCCCCCCGGTATTCAGTCCACCAACGCAACGCAGTGGTCCAAGGTACCTAAGAACTCGGACATTGACATCCATACTACGTCCATTACATAATTCTAGAGGTATCCTCCACCTCTTCGACCGGAGCCATCCATCCATTATGCTCCTTTCCAACATTAGGTATCTTTGCAGGCCTTTTGGCCATGCGCCAGGTAAGTAAACCAACAAGCTTTCAGTCCTACCTACCTGGGTAGAAAGGAATCAACCAGATACATATTGCGAGTTTCGTGCACGTACCTACTGATGTTTTCTTTCTTTTTTTTCTTTTCTCTCTCTTTGTTTTGTACAGATCCTTCCTGCCGGCACAGGCGCACTTCCAACACAACTCGTACAGAGGAAATGCTACAGCGCAAGGCTTTGTGGTCGAACGACCAGACCCGGATATTGCCCTCATTCAATGATTGCCATTACGGGGACGGGTGGGGCGATACTTGACACTCAAAAGAGGTACGCCGACATAACGGCCCTTAAAAAGGAGGGCATCGCATAGGCATCTTAAGACAAGGCAATTTGACTATAAGTAAGCCGAAGCTTGGTCCTGGTGACTGTGCTGCGAGCGCGTCAAGCTGCTCATGGGGTGTGGCCATTTGGTGGTGCAACGAGGTATGTTACCTATCTACCGCTATGTACCTACCTTACCTACCTAGAGGTACCTTACCTATCATGTCACTGATAGGTACCTTGTCTATTCAGTCCAGTCCAGTCCAGACCGCACGCACGTGGTGCACGGTTAGACTGTACTAACAACATACCTACCTACCTACCTTACCTATGTCCTCTTTCTTCATGTTTACTACCTGTATGTTCCGTTTCTAACCTTTCCTTCCCTCTTACCTACACACAGGACAAAATAAACCCAAAAGAGCTCAGTGAAGGGTACGGCATCATTGGCCGCGCCGCCCAGGCCGTCCACTTGGATAACTGCGATGTCAGAAAGGAATGTGCCAATCCTTGGATTTGTACTCGGGGCCAGGTCTACATGAAGGACTTCTGGAGCATCACTGTTACGCACAACAACTGCTAAGTGCATGTGCCCGCTGCGTGCACTGCTAACTAAGACTGGAGCACGTCGGAGCGTTTATCGACGGGACTTTTCCAGACTGGACTCGACTCGACTCGACCTTGAGAGCCAGCCAGCATTGAGCCCAAAACATGGAAAGATGGAAAGAAATGGCTTCTGTCGAGGTATGTTTGGTCATCTTGATGTATGTGTGCCGAAGTGGCTGGGGCCGGTCCTGTGGGAGGAAGAGCATCGCATGTGGCGCGAGATGGGCGTCGATACCAGGTACTTCTAGAGATTGTAGGAATAGTTATAGTCAAGATGAAAGATATGATGGAAATGGATGTCCAAAGATTGTGACGTCTAGACTACGCTCGCCCAGAACAAAATTGAGGAGTAGGCGTACCGAACTAAGGTAGGCAACAAATAAACCACATCAGAGTGTATTGAAGACAGAGCCAGCTCATCGTAGTACTGTAGGCAGGTAAGGCGGAGGAGGGCTATAATACCGATGCTGATGTTTCATACATATGATTTCGAAGCCGTCTGGTCTGTTAGCGGCGTTAACAAGGTCGCACAAGGTAGTAGGATAGGTACATGTATGGGGAGACGAGGTCGTCGATGTAGAACAAGAATGAGAAAGAGGTGGGTTGTGTGTTACCATGAGCTACCAAGGTATATTTACAGCACCGCCTGAGTTTGGGAACATCTGGACCTCGCTTGGTGTTAGTTTTGATTGAAAGAGGAAGAGAGAGGTGAGGTTGAAGTTCCAGGGATGTATGTAGATGGACCACCTGTTAACGCACCCCCGGGGTGAGGAGTTGTTTGTGGGTTTTGTGTTAGTGTACATAGTAGATGAGTACGCGGGTGAGGTCGAGACCAGATCGATTTGAAGGACAAAGTATTATAAGATGCAGCTCAAGAAAGCCATGCAAAATACTTCACATCGACTGACATATTTATATAGAGGATAGCCACGTTTTGGTTCTCACTTCGTAGACAACCCGTATGGCGCCTCCATTGTTGAAGTCACAAGTGGTCTTGCACTAACAATTTCTCCCGGACGTGCTGCAAACTCGGGGCGGGTCTGCACGATTTCATGCAGGGAAACCTCAGCGCCCGGGAAAAGAGACGGAGCCCCAGCGGAGGTTCTGGACTCCGATCGATGACACACGCTGCCGTGTGACAACCTCATTTTCATTTTCATCTCAACCTCAAACATCACAACCGGACTCACTCACAACAACATTACAACTTCACACCAACCTACAACCAAATAACCAAAATGAGCTCAACCCCCCTCAAAATCGACTCCACCCGGGCCTCGGCGCTCGTCTCCCAGCTGCAAGGCGTGCAAGAGCGCATCCTCGCCGTCGCCAAAGGCCGGCCCGTCCGCCTCGTCGCCGTGTCCAAGCTCAAGCCCGCCAACGACATCCTGGCTCTGCACCAGGCTCCCCAGGTCAAGCAGGTCCATTTCGGCGAGAACTATGCGCAGGAGCTGCAGCAGAAGGCCGAGTTGTTGCCGAGGACCATCAAGTGGCATTTCATTGGGGGGTTGCAGAGTAGTATGTCTTGTCCCTTGCCTTTGGATCTTCTTGTGTGAAGTGAAACTACTTATGAGGAGGATGATGACTAACGGGAGACAAAACAGCACACTGCAAACCCCTAGCCAAAATCTCCAACCTCTTCGCCGTCTCCTCTCTGGACTCCCTCAAAAAAGCTCAGACTCTCAACCGTGTGCGCGGGGAACTCATCGCCTCTTCCTCTACCCCCGAAAACCAAATCGAAAAACTAAACGTCCACGTCCAAGTCAACACCTCAGGCGAAGAATCCAAATCCGGCTGTTCACCGGGCCAAGAAACCGTCGACCTGTGCAAGGCCATCGTCAACGAATGTCCTCACTTAAAGTTGCTGGGGTTGATGACCATTGGCGCCATTGCGAGGAGCAAGGCGACTACGCCCGAGAATGAGAATGAGGATTTCGTGGTGTTGAGGGAGCAGAGGGAGTTGGTGGAGAAGGAGCTGGGATTGGAAGAGGGAAGTTTGGAGCTCAGTATGGGGATGAGTGAGGACTTTGAGGGGGCTATTGTTATGGGGAGTTCGGAGGTTAGAGTGGGAAGCACGATTTTTTGGGGAGAGGGGGAGCAAGAGTGAGGCGAAGGTTATTGTTTAGCTGAGGTCACTGGAGATTGGGTGGCATGTAAGGGGTTGGTGATGGATTATGATATGCATTCTACGGGTTATGAAAATTAGACATGGTTTGGGTTGGTTTGGCATTGAAGATGGTATTTGGAATGTCACGACTTGTGGTCTTTGGGGTTGTGAACTTTTTACTCGAGTGCCGAGGCGTGTTTGAATTTCGACCAGATTACCCATCTCCCTCTCACTTTCATGACATTGTGATCCAAGTTATTCGGCACCAAATTCAAAATCCCCGACTGTCCAGTCTCAACAACAGGGACCCGACGATGAAGCTCAAAGCTGGAACTGACCAAGATGGAATGCCAAAGAAGAGATGCCGAGAACCAAGATGCACATGACAAGTCCCGACAAGCAAGAGCTCTGCAGCTCTGCAGGACCGCTGAAAATCAGTGGAGCCCAAAACGCTGGAGTTTGTCCCCTCACCCCTGAAGCTTGGACATCGGAGGAGCTTGGGCCACCTCCACCTTGGAAAAAGGGAGCTTGGACCTCACAGGAATGACGACGATAACAATTTTTGCGGTGAGCATCACCAGCTATTGATATCGCATACACGTCTCCCTCGTCAGTTGTCGCATTCACATCTCCCTCGTCAGTTGTCGCATTCACGTCTCCCTCTTCAGTTGTCGCATTCCATGCATCTTCAACCTCCATGAGCCAAGACTTCAACACGGTCTGGTGCCTGGCCTCTTCTCTTCCAGGAGGGTGACGCGCAGCTATTCTTCCTTGCCTCTCCCTCGGTTATCGATAAGCAACTAGCTCTGTGACGGCGGCGAGACTAAAACTGCGCTCTGAGGTCACACAAGCCAACCCTGGTTCGCGACTAACCGCGCTCGTTGCTAGGGTGTCTTTTTTGGTGAAAGGAAAAGAGCACAAACAATCAACAAGAGTTTGGAGGAAATGATTGGTTGATTGGCCTCTTCGAATGGGGCACATAAAGGTGTTGATTGGTTGGGAGGGAAGATGTGACGGTTTTCCCGTGGCCGTCAAGGTGGGCTGCTGTCGACCACGGCTGGCTGGGAGCTCGACACCCGACACCAGTGGACTGCTCTGCCCTGAAAGATCCCTGTTCGGGCCCTTGACCCCAGCCTCCCCTCCAGTGGGCAGGGCAGGCGGCCCCTCGCTCGCCGAAAAGAAACGTGGGTTGGAAATTCTTGGGGACAGGTTTGGCAGGAACAGGCAAGGTTGGGTTCCTACTCTCATCAAGGTTCAGGTTTGTCGTGCTTCCAGTCGAGGGCAAGAACGAGTGCATATCTGGTCATCAGGTCTCGACGGGTTTGAGTTTGAAGATTCAGTCCAATTTCAGGTTGTTTGTCTCGTCCTCCTCCTTCCCATTCCAACAGTCCAAGTTTTGCACTTCAAGTTCTGCCACACACACTGCAGTCGGTTGTCGGTTGTTGCCTGGCCAAAGCAAGAAAGGAGGTCCGCAGTCAGCAGTCAGCAGTCAGCAGTCACTTCTTCCGCTCACAAACCAAACATTCAGCATCAGACGAACCTACAAACGGCATCTTCCATTCACTCGGCTGCTTCAGTTAGGTTGTCACTTTCACTTCAGTTTTCAGTCTGGCTTAGCATTGCTCATTATACCCTGCTTTGCGCCATATCTTCTGCAGCACCATACATTTCACTTTGGACAACCCGAAACAAGGAAAGCTTAGAGCTGCCGTGTTAAGTTCTTTTTTTTTTCTTTACTTTTTTTCTTTGGCGATTTGGCGATTCACTGGTTTGCGACTTTTGCGACTTGCGACTTTCGAAAAGGATATACCCCCCCAGCCATACAACAGCAGGATCACGTCAACCGACATACTCCTTGTGTGGTTTGTTTTCTTTGCTCGATATTTTCCTTATCTCCGTTTTCCATATTGCAGCTTGGACGGAACCATCACGACCTGGAGACCTGAAAGAAGTCCATCGGATATTCGCACTGCCTTACTACTACCGACTGCCTGCCTACCTACATATCTGAGGGAGCAATCGAACAACAGCTGTTGTGTTGCCTTCCGACACCAACTGCCACTGGAACCGAAAAGAGGAACGTCATATTTCACATTTCAAGACTTTGGTTCAGTTACAGACGGGAAAACCAGGACAAGACAACCACGAACACACGGCAACTTGAAGGAGAAAGCCCGAGCACGGATCAATTCCAGCCCAGGTTCACGTTGACCAAGGTACAACCAACCGCTCATCGACGCCTCCTGGTTTTGAACTGCTTCCAACTTGTCTCAGCCCCGGAAACTGTTCCTCTCAAATACCGTATCACTCACGGTCACCCATAATACATACTTGTACAGTCATTCATACCGTACAGTATTGGCCAGGCATTGCACCCTCCCCATCTTGACACCTTCAGCAATCAGCTCAGCTCAGCTCGCATCACCACCGACAAGGGGTGGTAATTTACCGATTTCTTACATACTGTTCAGTACTTACCAGGAATACTACCTCCATCAGCACATCGCTTCCCGTCTCGGTGCCCCCATCCTACCAAGCCATCCTAATTCGAGACCACACACCCGACCCAGGATCCTACCGCGTTTCCGTTGTTGGCGTAACCGCACAGACACGGTCTCTCTCCAGTTTTCGGCAGAAACACCCTGGTCCTTGGTCGACCACCCTGGTTCTTCTTAGATCAGGAACCAGATTGACTCTCACACACCTCGGGTGGTGGTACTGTCAAGACGCCCACCACCACACACGCCAGCCAGCCCGCGCCGCGCAGCAACAAACCCACGGTCCCACGCTCGCACGCGCACGCCCGCCCTACCGCCCTGCTCCCTTCCCTCTCTCACTCCCTCCCTCGTTTTCCCGACACACACCTACCACACAGCTGGAGCCATGCCGCCCGCTGGCTCAGAGAGGGACCACCAACTCCAGGCCGGGCACCACCATCTCCCCCGAGATTTAAGACACTCACATTCCGCCTCGTTTGATAATCATGGCCGTGCTATGATCCCAATGTAGGATTGCTCCCCCTGATGCTTCCCCTCTCTTACCCAAAACACCAACCGAGATATGTCATGATCATGGTGACATGTCCCTCTTGTTCAAGGAACTAATGAAAACCAGGTGGGATAGCTCAGACCCCGAGAGGGCACCCCCACCGCTCCCGCTTCACCCTCAGTCTCCCGGTGTCTCTAGAGCCGGCACCTCGAGTGCGATCCAGTCTGCCCATGCCGCCTTGCAGGAAAAGGCCCGCGAGAGTGCTAACCTGGTACCACACATCCCCAAGCGCGCCGCCGGTGAGCCGTCTCCAGAGAGGACCGAGAGGCCCCCGTTGCGTAACGCCGCTACGGCTGCGTCACATCGCCGTCTGAACTCCCTCCAGAACAACACTGTCAAGGATATTAGTTTGATGCTCGAGAGTGGTCACGTCCCCAATACGTCTGCCTCGCGATCACCAGAGAAGCACGACTTCAAGTTCGATAGCAAACCCGATACCAAGTTTGACAAGTACGAGAAACAAGAAAACAGCAAGCACGACAGGTACGAGACCAAGTACGAGACCAGGTACGAAAGACCGACTACCCCTACGAGGAGTCGCGAAAACCACGTCGAGTTCAAGGACGAAAAGGAAGACTTTTTAAAACCCGCTCCCGCCATGGGGTCACCACGAACGGGTCCTAGTTTGACCCCCGGCGGCATCTTGCGCCAAACCACCAGCACAAGCAGCATGCGCCGACCACATCAGAGCATTCTCGGCGAGAACACGCCTCCTCAGTCGGCCACCATGCTCGCCCTCCAGAACATGAGCAGTGCCAGCCACCTCGGGACGTCGTCGACGGTCAGGGACTCGGATCCCCTCGCTAACATCACTAACGGCTCCAGCGGATTGCCCAAGACGACTATGACTCCCCATGGCCTCGAGGCCTTGTCGAATCAACTCCTCACCCTCACCGGCATTGCGTCAGGTCTGCAAAAAGAAATGTCGGCGCTTAGCAGGCGCAGCAGAGATAATGCTACAGACTTGCTCAGCTTGAAAGAGGCCACCAATCAGCGCGATGAGGATATTCGCAGGAGCTTGCGGGAGTTGATTACCGAGGCCAAATTGAGGGCCGCGCAGAGGGAAGCGTACGGAGGTGGTCCACCGTCGCCTACGTCGCTAAAGTCGCGGCCATTCTCCCTGCCGCGAATACCTTCGCCGCATAGCTTTGGCGCGGAGTCGCTATTGAGCACGCCATCCCTCGTAGCCGATACCTCGTCCATTGCTCTCCTAGAAAAGATCCTTCATGACATGGGAACAAAAGAGGGCCAAGAGTCGCTTCTCTCGAGGCTTAACGAACTCGCCCGCCAGCTTTCCGGCTTTTCCACGGCTGAAAAGCTAGAAGAGATTATCCGCCTTGTCAAAGCCAACCAGCACCATGCCCTTGTACCAGCTACTGGCGGAGGGGGGAAAGGCGGTAACGGTGGTGGTGGTGGCGGCGGCGGTGGTCGCAACCATGCCTGGAGCTTCAGCGAAGACGAAGACGGCCGAAACCGCGTAGGCCGAATGCTCGAAGAATCCGGAAACTCGCCGGCGCAAACACTCGGGTCCCGAACTATTGATCCCATGAACGATGAAATCCTCTCTGCCCTGCGCTCAGTCAAGGACCACATTGCCCAAGGCGGTAGCCTCACCAGCGACGTCAAGTCCCTCGTCAAGGAACTGCGCGGTGAAGTCCAGGGCATGGGTCAAGAGATTGGTCGTCGACTTAACGAAGTGTCCTCCAAGTCTTCCCAGACCCTCCCCGTCGACAACTCCACAAAGGAAGCCATGAACAAGATTGTCGCAGACGGCCTAGAAGAAATGCGCCAGAACATGGTCAACATCGTGCACGAGCACCGAAAGAAGGCACAAGAGACAGTTGCGGCCGCACCTCGAATCGACTCCATGATTGACTACCGAGAGATCTACAACAGCATGCGTGCTGCCCTCAAAGATTCGCAGGCCAACAAGCCGCGCGTACAGGAGCTTCGCAGGGAGGACGTCGTGCAGGCGGTCCAGGATGCTTTCGAAAAGTACAAGCCCGAGATCGAAATCCAGCAGATTGGATTGGAGAGGCATGAGGTTCTGGACTGTTTGAAGGAGGGCCTAGGGATGTATCTTCCAAAGGAAACAGCTTCCAAACAAGATGTGTTTGCTGCTGTCAACGAGGGTATCAGCAAATTTGAGACTGTCTCCCGGGACGATGTCCTCGAGTCTGTCAGGGAATGCCTGGATGAGTTCGACTTCCCCGTCACCCCGCAGCTTTCGAAAGACGACATCCTGAGCGCGGTCAAGGATGGCTTGAGCGACTTCCCTAAGCCCCTGAAGCGTCAAGAGTTGGTAGATGCCATGGACGAGAGCCTCAACAAGTTCAACTTTACTGATGACATGGCCGAAGCGGTGCAAGATGGTGTACGGTCCCTGGACCTGCCAAAGGATATGCAAACCGCCGTCACCAAGGCCCTGGAAACATTCGATTTCTCCTCCACCGGATCGTCAAGCGAAGCCATGATCGACGCCGTCCAGGAAGCTTTTGAAACCATGGATCTGCCCTGCGACGTCAGCCGCGCCGTCGTCAAAGCCCTGCAAACCCCCGAGTTTGCCCAGCACATCGCTTCTTACATCCCCCGTCCTGATCTGTCGCGTGTCGACCTTGCTGATGCCGTCCGCGAAGGATTCGATGCGCTCGATATCTCTGGAGATGTCGTCCGCGCCGTCAGAGAAGGCCTCAAAGAGCTGGATCTCTCCGAATTATCCGGTTCACATTCCAAGGCTCTCGTCCGCCACGGTGCCACTCCTCCCTCCATCTTGAAGCCCGAAACGGAAGAAATCATCGAGCGACTGTACGAAATCCGTGATTCGCTAAGGGACGAATTCCGCGCCTTCTCCGAAAACAGCAAGCCCACCTCCCGTGGTGGTGACGCCGCCGAGAGGACTTCGCCAGACATTACCATGGACGGGTTCGAGAAACTCAGACATGACATCGAAGCGTACGTCGACCGCGCCCGCATCGACGGCAACTCCGACGATTTGATCCCGCACATGACTGAAACGTTGGAGAAATTTAGGGAGGAAGTGGCGGAGCTGGTGAAGAAGGCAAGCCAGAGCACCAACGACCTGCTAAGGGAGGAACTCGAATCACTCCGCGACGTTGTCAACGGCACCTTGGTCCCCGTCACGCCACTGTCGCAGCCCGGCGGCGGCAGCAATACCGAGATTCTCGAAGCCATCGGTGCCATTCGTAAGGAGATGGGCAACACCACCAAATCTCAGCAGCAAGCCGGTGGAGTCGATGGTGGGATAACGGAGACCCGGATCCTTGATGCTCTCCAGGAGGGGCTGGGTGATCTGAAGAGGCGTATCGACAAGCTCGCTAACAAACCTGGTGACCACCTCTCGGCTAATGACGAGATTCTGGATGCGCTCAAGGAGGGCCTGAAGGGCGTCAGAGCTGATCTTGAAGAGCTCAGGGCTGGAGGCGGATTTGATGACGAGTTCGCGCTGACGCCTTTTAGCAAGAACGGCGATCAACCTTCGAAGCAGCTCGGTCATGGTCATCATGCTGAGGAGATTAGAAGTCTTCATGCTATGGTTGATAAGCTGGGCAAGAAGGTGGATGCTATGGAGAGTGGTGGTGCTGGTTCGCCAAAGGCTGCGGCTGGTGCCAACACCGCTACCTCCAAGTCTGAGCTAGGCGAGGTTGAAGTCTTGCTGAGGAAGTTGATCGACTCCGTTGCTTCCCTTGCTGCCCGCGAGCAGCAGCAGCAAAAGATTAACCTCTCGCCTCTCGAAGAGACCGTTCGCTCTCTACAGGCTTCGGTCGATACCGCGATTGGGGGTTTACGCAAGTCGATTGATGAGTGGACCAAGGCTAGATCGTCATCAACCGCCGAACCTGAGCTACTGCCCACCAGCGAACCTACCGATCCGGCTACGAAGGAGGACGTCCAAGCCATTGAGACAATTCTTCGGAATACCAAAGACAGTTTGGATGACTTTGTCAGTGCCCAGGGAGAGCAAGCAAACCAAGCTAAGAAGGAGCATTTGGATCAGTTGGAGGTGCTACTGGTGGAGACAAAGACCAGTCTGGGAGATTTGTCAAAACAAGTGGAGGATGTGTCCAAGAAGGAGGATGTTTCCGCCCTGGAGTCACTCATCACCAAGATGGCCATCGCCTTTGACGAGATGAAGACCCGCGACGAGAAGGATGACTCGGACAAGCTCACCAAGGCTGATCTTGAGGCTGTTGAGACTGTTTGTCTTGAGGTCAAGTCCCTGCTTTCGTCAAGGCCTGTTACCACTGATGCCACCGACTCGACCAGCGCCGCCACCAGTCACCCCGATGTGGACAGCAACTTCAAGACGTTGACCGAGAAGCTTCAGGCTCAAGCCGAGGCCAGCACCAAGGCAAATGGCGACATCACCGATCGGGTGTCCGAAGTCAAGTCCCTCATCGAAGAGTTCCACGAAGTCATCAAAGCTAAACTCACTGATGGAGCCAAGGGGGTGGACTCCATTCACAAGGTCCTGACTCCCATGAGCGAGATTGTCAAGCAGAACGCGACGCTGCAGGGCGAGCTTATGGAGCTGTGGGGTGGTATGAAGGAGGGTTTTGAAGAAGGACGCACCACCATCGACAAGGCAAAGACCGATATCGAGACCAAGATTGAGGAGCTTCAGACGGCGCAGGGCGGTGAGATCAAAGAGGCTGTGGTTGCGACGAAGACGCAGGTGGAGGAGCTCAAGGCTGTGCTGGAGCCTCTCAGCGGCACTGTCACTGAGGCGGTGGAGAAAATGGAGGTTTCAAGCAAGACTGTTTTCGAAAGGGTGGATGAGCTGGTGGCCAAGGCAGATGAGAATCATCTTGATGTCAAGGCTGAGCATACCCTTACTCAGGAGCAGGTGCAGGAGATGTCTGGCAAGGTTGATACTTTGCAGAGTCTGGTTGCTGAGCATCAGCCCAAGGTTGCGGAGAATATGCAAGAGGTTCTTGCTCTTGTCGGTCAGCATTTTGAGCACTCCAAGACGACGACGGAGGGTTTGCAGACCAAGGTCATTGACGCCATGCCTACTGTTAACGAGAAGCTTGATAAGCTTGTTGGTCAGACTGCTCAGCTTGCTGTTCTTGAAGAGGTCCACGAGCAGGTGAAGAATACTTCTTCTGAGCTCGCTGGGTTCATTGCTGCTCAGACTCAACGTGCTGTTGAAGAGGACGATAAGAAAAAGAAGATCCTGCAGGAGACCACCATTGCTCTCGAGCGCCAGCTTGCTGAGAAGGAATCCATTGAGACTCGTCTGGCTGAACTCAAAGAGGAGGAAGCCCGCATTAAGGAGAGCATCAATGTTACTTTGCGTGAGGAGCAGGATCAGCTCAAGTCTCAGTTCTTGGAGAACTTGCAACAGGAACAAGCACGTCTGAAGCAGATGAACGAGTCCCTCAAACAGGAGCAGGAGGAGTTGAAGAGTACTTTCTTGGCTAACTTGGCTGAGGAGGAACATCGCCTCAAGACGCTCAATGAGTCCCTCAGAAAAGAACACGAGGAGGCCAAGGCGGTGTTTATGGCTGGTCTGAAGGAGGAGGAGACGAGGCTGAAGGAGTTGAATGCTTCACTCAAGGAAGAGCAGGAGACCTTGAAGAAGACGTTCACCACTAATCTCCAGGAGGAACACGACCGTCTCATGGAGATGAACGTTGCTCTCAAGGAAGAACACGACACCATGAAGAAGACCTTCGCTGCTAACCTCCGCGATGAGCGTGACCGTCTAATCGAGCTCAACTCTGCCCTCAAAGCCGAGCACGAGTCGCTCAAGCGGAGCTTCCTTGCCGTTTTGAAGGACGAAGAAGCCCGTCTGAAGGAATCCAACGACGCCCTGCGCGAAGAACAGCAACTTCTGAAGGATAAGTTCCTCAAGAACCTGCGCGAGGAGGAGTCTCTACTCAAGGAAGTCAACGAGGGTCTGAGGCAAGAGCAGAAAGAACTTAGGAGCTCCTTCCTTGCTGCGTTCCAGGAGGAAGAAAGACGGTTAAAGGAGATCAATGCCTCGTTGAGAGAAGAGCAGGAGGAGATGAAGGCTATCTTCCGCGAGGAGCAGGAGAAGCTCAAGGTGGACTTGCTGGCCAATCTGATGGAGGAGGAGTGTCGCCTCAAGGAACGCAACGAGGCCTTGCGCAAGGAACATGATAAACTCAAGGAACAGTTCCTGGCTGATTTGCGCGCTGAGCAGCAGGGTATCAAACACAACCTTGTCGAGCTGCGCGGGGAGCAAGAGGATTTGGTGCGCAAGAAGTCAAGACTTACGGCCGATCTTTCGTCGCTTGACACTGCCCTCCGCCTCAGAAGAGAAGAACTCCACGAGATGGAAACCCGCGCTGAGACGCTCGAGCGTCGTATCCTCGAGGGTGTCATGGATCATTCTCGTCTGCTGCTCATGGCCAAGGGGAAGCGATTCACCACGGGCGTTGGTCGCGAAAGCATGAATCGCAAGCGTGTACCGTCGCAGATGTCGACTCGCGCTCCTAGCGTCGTTTCCAGAATGGACTCCAGACAGCCCACGTCTGCATTGAACATGGCTGCTATCAACGCCAAGCCTAGTGCCAGAACTCCTAAGATGGGCTCTGCCGCGGGAGCATCGGCGTCTAACAGGCGGATTTTGTCACTGAGTCAGATGGTCAGCGGAGGTTTGCCAGGCGGTGGCATCAAGCGCAGCAATAGCGTTAGGAACGGGGCTGGCGGTGGTGGTGTCGCGGCTGCTAAGGCGGCTGTTGCTGCTCATCATGACAATCCTACTAGACCCAAGGCTGGTGAAAGGAAAGGTAGTTGGGCGACAACTTCTTCACGTTCGACAGCGACAGCTAAAGGGTACGGTGATTTATCCAAGGGCTCGGAGGATAAAGAGCCCTCTTTGAAGGAAACGGACGATGAAGATGAAGAGGGTTACGACACCGCTACTCCACCTGTTGACGTCCGTTCCGGGTCCGACGACGACATGGTGCACGTGGATGATGACGCACGCACCGAGTCCTCTTCCCGCTACGGCGACGGCGACGATCACGGAAATGAAACAGAAGCGGACGAAACTGCCACTTTGCGAAGATCTTCCCAGGGCACAACAGTCATCACCTCTTCTTCCCGCTCCGGCCGATCTGCCCGCTCCAACAACAGCCATGATGACGACGGTGAAAGCCAATACAGCCACGACCAATCCCAATACTCCCAAGATGACGACGACTACTCCGACTACGAAACAGGCGACGATAGTGAAGACGGCTCGTGGACTGAGAGGGGTAGTGCCGTCTCGGGCACCACTGGGACAAGCAGGACCGCACCGAGTTTTGCGCCGAGTGCGAGTGTGATGTCAGTGGCGAGTTCGAGGATGTCGAAGGCTAGTAAGATGAGCAAGGATTCGGGGATCAGTGGGATCAGTGGTACTAGTGGAATTCCTAGGGCGAAGGCTGCTAATGGGGGGTAAATGGTAGTGGGAGTCCGAAGAAGGGCGGTGGTGGTGGGAAGCAGGGTGGGAAGTGAGGTGGGAGTTTGAGCTTATGGGTGAGGGGAGATGGATGATGATTCATTGGGTCATGATATCTTGTTGCTTTTCTCAGTTTCGGTTTTCGGTTTTCGGTTTTTCCCACATTGATGATGGGTTCGTTTTGTTGTATTACTTGTCCGGATTATTTTGGCTTTTGTTGTACGGATTATCGATGGGATGGATGGATGGATGGATGTATGGGTGGTGGTTTTTGAGTTATTGATGCTATGCTATGGCTTGATGCTTGCTTATGTTTATGGTTAGCTTGATGTTTATGCGATTACCCCCTCGGAAACTGAATTCTTATGCTGGACGGATGAAGGAAATGGCGGGGTTACATTATGGTAGTTTTAGGCCTAGGCTGTCGATTATTGTTGCTTTTACTTTGGTTTTACTTCTCTGCTCCTGAATTGTGAGTGACTTGGTGACGGTGACTTGTGAATGATGATTTTGCTCGCTTGGAAGAGTAACTTGCTTGCTTGCTGGTGACTTGCTTTATATTAGTGATGCTCCATACCTACTTACTTTATGAATGTCTACGAAATGGCTTGTCTTGCCTAGGGGCACCGCGAGCAGATTTATTGCCTTCTTCCCGAGTGTGCGACTGGTGACTTGTTGATTTGGTGGCTTTTTGCTCGTTTGGTAAGTTGATAATGTTGGTAAGTTGCTCCCTCGGTGGTGACAGGTGTTTGATAGTTCGTTACATATGCTTAAATACATAACTTACTCATATTGCCCCCGAAAACTCATTCGTTGAGGGAATACCTAATTTTATGGTCCATTCCAACACGCATAACCAGAGGTCAAGGTCCCAAGTTCGCGGCTCTGCTGCGGCTTATATGTATCATGTATGCTATGCGGGACTCTCTCCGTGGGCTGTGAGATGTGATCTATAATGTGTGGTTTGTGGTCAGTAATCTGTGAGTTGTAGTCTGTACTCCGTGTATACACGAGCCTCCAGTCCGAAGTGAGGTACATAACCCCGGCCGGCATCAGGGTCCATCAGGAACAGGGGGGTGCGGTACCCGTAACGGGATGGAATCAACATATCCATAAGCTGCCCAGCCCAGTTATCGCCAAAACACTACCGGGACACTCCCCGTTATCAACCCCCTTTCAAAACTTGTCGTGAAAATGAAAAAAAACAGTATTACAAGGATTGATGGATTGGAAGGAAGGAAAACAAGTGCAATTTCTTCTTCTCCTTTTTACTTTGTTTCCTTTCTCTTACTTAGCAGAGGTGTTTGTTTTCTCTTTTGGTTTTTTGCGTAGAGGTACCTATGGATTACGGTCGAGTGCACGGATGGATGCTGGCTGGCTGCATTGCTGTCACGGCGGTTGACGGTGGAAAGATGGAAAGATGGAAGAATGGCGGGTAGGTACTTTTTTCCAGAGTCGTGATCATCTGGTGCTGCTGCTCCATATCTGCTACTTACTTTAGCCTAGATACAGCCAGCCCGTGCCAGGTACTACTAAAGTGGGAGGGAGTAAGGATAGGGAGAGTTCGCATATGGTGAGTTTATGTCTCATGTCCTCGCTGTGATTCCAGTGCGCACCTGTGATCGTGTTTCATAAGGTATGTATGGATTGACTCTTCGTGATTAATGTCTTCCACCTCCCGCCTGCCCGGTGGGTGTTGAAAATGAATTCGTGGATATTCCTGGGACCTGAATATGACGGACGCGTTTGGTGAGCTTTTGGCGGTGGGCGGGGAAAAGAGGGGGGGGGGGGGGGGGGGG